TATACGGCCTAGGACCCTCATACCTATGGGACTGCGTCTCCTGGTATGCCCCACAGAGGACCTTAAGGTCCACAAATGACAACACTTTGGAGGTCCCAGGTCGCAAGGAGGTTAGATTGGTCTCAACTAGGGCCAGGGACTTTTCAGTACTGGCCCTGACTTGGTGGAACGCTCTGTCACAAGAGACCAGGGCCCTGAGGGACTTGACATCTTTCCGCAGGGCCTGCAAGACGGAGCTGTTCCGCCTGGTCTTTGGCCAAGGCACAGTCTGACCCCCTCCTTCTGAATCCTCATAGAACACTAGCCCAATGGTTGCCATTAATTTGATTCTGAATTGGTTTTAAAATGAATTGATTTTAGAATGTTGTGTTACCGTTATTGATGTTAGCCGCTCTGAGCCTGGCTTTGGCTGGGGAGGGTGGGATATAAATTTATTATTATTATTATTATTATTATTATTACTACTACCGGTATTATTATTATTATTATTACCTGTCCAGGTAGGGAGGGGGTGCAGTAGCTAGAGTTTGCAAAGGACCCAATGCCTCAGAATGCACAATATTTGAAAGCCAAACTAATTCAGAAATGCAGCTGGGGGGAAAACCCCAACATCTGCTCTCGCCGAACGCGATGCAAGGACGGGCCGCAGGCTCTGCCAATAAAAGGAAATGTAACCAAACAAGCAGCCAGAGGAAAAAAGGGGGGGAGGAGGAGGAGAAGAGAGGGAACAATATTAACAAATAAAAAGAGACGCTAGCCGGCCTCCAAACTCACGAAAAATAAATATTGAAACTGACCCCAAACTATTATTTAAACACAGTGTTTCTCTCCCCATCTGTCTCCAGCTCTCTCTTCCTGGAAACAATAGGAAGAGCAGGAAGAGGGAGCAGGGGGAATACTAATACACAGCGGGTGTCCACATCCTCCCAGAATACAGGCGCATTTGGAGACAGTAACAGGGTTACATGGGCAGAAGGAAGCCGTTTCAGGGCACATTCCAGCATGTAGCTGTTCTTGTCAAGCGCACGCTCCGCTGAAGTGAATGGGAGGTGTACAAGAGCACATGGAAAGTTCTGGGACTTGGAGGGCAGAGAGAGGGGAGAGGCTGCTTCATACTTGGGTATGTTTAGCCTGGATATGAGAAGACAGAGGCTTTGAATACGGCTACCACGCTGTGGGTTAAACCACTGAGCCTAGGGCTTGCAGATCAGAAGGTCGGCGGTTCGAATCCCCATGACGGGGTGAGCTCCCGTTGCTCGGTCCCTGCTCCTGCCAACCTAGCAGTTCAAAAGCACGTCAAAGTGCAAGTAGATAAATAGGTACCACTCCGGCGGGAAGGTAAATGGCGTTTCCGTGCGCTGCTCTGGTTCGCCAGAAGCGGCTTAGTCCTGCTGGCTACATGACCCGGAAGCTGTACGCTGGCTCCCTCGGCCAGTAAAGCGAGATGAGCGCCACAACCCGAGATGTCCATGACTGGACCTAATGGTCAGGGGTCCCTTTACCTTTTACCACACACAAGCTTGCTTTCCACAGCTCCAGAGTGGAGGACCTGAAGCAATGACTTCAAATGACAAGAAAGGAGATTCTGACAAAATGTCAGGAAGAACTGACTGGTGGTTAAGAGTTCTCTGACAGCAGAGTGGACTCCCTCTGAAGGTGGTGGGCTCTCCTTCACTGGGGGTTTGCAAAGAGGTTGGATGGCCATCTGTCAGGAATGATTTTGTTGCGATTCCTACATTGCGGGGATTGCGATAGATGGCCATTGTCCGTTCTTGAAATTAGCCAGGTGCATTTTGCCAATGCCGAGGGCCTTTGGGCAGTTCCCTCATTGTGAGAAGCCAAGTTACAGGGAACCAGGCAGAGGGCCTCCTTGGTGGTGGTGCCCACCTTGTGGAACTCCCTCCCACCAGCTGTCAAAGAGAAAAACAACCACCAGACTTTTAGAAGACATCTGAAGGCAGCCCTGTTTAGGGAAGCTTTTAATGTTTAATAGATTATTGTATTTTAATATTCTGTTGGAAGCCACCCAGAGTGGCTGGGGAAACCCAGCCAGATGGGTGGGGTATAAATAAATTATTATTATTACATTTCCACCATCTGGACTTTTTAGCTTAGAGAAGAGCTGGTGTATGGAAGTTCATAAAACTATGCATGGCATGGAGGAACGAGACACCCCATAAAGTTGAAGGTTGGAAGATACAGGATAGATAAAAGAAAGTCCTTCATAGTTCAGAAAAGGCACAGGAGGCAGTGATGGCACCAACTTGTATAGCTTTAGAAGAGAACTGGAACAATTCAGGAGGAGAGGACTACTGATGGCTCCTAGCCACAACGGCTCTGCTCTGCCTCCACAAAATGCCTCTGAATACCAGCTGCTGGGAACCACAGGAATGGGGAGTGTTGTGTTCGAATCCTGATCACTTGTTTCCCCCCTGGCACCTGGTCAGCCTCTGAGAGAAGAGGAAGCTGGACTAGATGGGCCATTGTTCTGGTCCAGAGGGCTCTTCTTCTTAAATGCCAATCATTAGACAAGGGGAAGACAAGGCTGCTTGGAAATGCCCTGAAGCCCCCCTCCAGCTGCCCCCAAAGATTCGGTGCATTGCATGGAGTTCAAGGGCAATTAGTCTAATTAAGCAATTAAATTATCTCTCTCTTTTTTTGAAAGTAACTCCTTGGAAGACTAGCTAATGTCTTGCCCCGCAAAGTCTGGCTGCCCCTTGGGCTCTGATGTCGTTCATCAACATGTCAAGGCAGTTTTATTCTGACAGGCATTCACTGGGCAGGAGAGATACAGTCGTCTCCTGTTTGGTTTTAACGGCTGGATCCAGCCTCCCTTAATTGTTTTATATTTTTATTTTTGTGAAATAGCTATTTTTAAATGCGGCAAGCCACCCTACGCAACACTATCACATTAGAAGGGTGGGATATAAATACGTTTGAGTAAGGAAAGTTCTGCAGGAAACAGAGTAGACTTTTAAAGGAAAAAAGCACTGATCTTTTCCACTTCCAGGTCTTTTTGAAAAAAGCTGGGAAAGAATCTGACAGTTAAAAGTAAGATTTTTCCCATTCATGTTTGTTGCATTAGCAGCCGTTGAGCTTGCAAGGCACTGCAGACCTGTGCAAACACCGTGTGGCTCCACACAAAATCTCTGCTCCACAACTTTAAGATGCACAAAGTCCTGGATTCATGAGACTCTCTGCAAAATCAATGCTATAATAAAAAACTGCCTCTTTATACTGGCTCTTGGATACCCATAAGGGATAAAGTCCTTATGTAGGTTCTCTATCAGTAGGAGACAACAACAGAGACCAACCAGAGAATATTGAGAAGCAAAGCAGCTAGTAAGCCTGATCTTTATTAAACTCTTGCAACAAGGTTCCCACACTCCCCACACACAGGGAGAGAGAACAAAGGTGTGCAAGCTTCTTATATAGACTTTCGAAATTGCCTCCCCTGTAGCTCAAGACCACCCCCCAAAACATCACACATACATCACAGAAAGAGGCTGTCTCCCGGAGAAATCCTGTCTGCCAGGATACCTGATAATGCCTTATCTGACCGCCTTTTCTGGGTAGCCTGGCCATTCCTTGGAGATGGTAAATCCTTAGTTCATGAATCTCTTACGCATACTGAGAGTGTGCTCAGCATAACAGATACTTGCCAGGCTGTATTTACAGGGAGGTGTAAGTCCCTACAGTCCAAAGACTATTGGAAAGCTTTTCCCATTTCCTTCCTCCTTGCAGAGAAATATTTGAGGTCAATTTGGGAGAGTCAAAATGGCTTCAGGACTTCTCTCCTGTACTATTTCAGACACATGGGTTATATACTGATGTACATGTTTGCCCTGTACATTTATTTTATGGCTATATAAGACCTTAGAATTCCTGTAACATCAACTCTAGGAGGAGATTATCTCTCCTGCCTCAAAAATCTCACTGTGCCAGCGCCAAAGTTTCCTGCTCGTAGGTCCTGAGTCCTGATGCACATTTTCTTCCCAACAGCAGCAGAAAATAAGAGAGCCACCCACCCACCTCCAAACACAGATGCACATACAAATCTTCCCAAATAATTCCAGCAAGCCTTCTGCCGCCTACCGGCAGCCGACAGAATTACAGTCTTGCTTCTCAAATGAAGGCCTCTTGTGGGAACTGGGTTGCCTGAACCAAAACACATCTACTGAACATAGGAGCCAGGAAGCTGGCGGGGGTGAAGAGGAGCTGCCAAGCCCTATAAAAGGCTTAGCTTCCAAAATTCAGAAGCCACTGTGCTGATTATGTTCTCTCCCCACATTTTTAACATGAGAGCACAAGCCACAGAGAGAGAGCCACCAGCACTGGTTGCAGAAGGAGTTTGTGCCAGGGCAATAACGCAAATCCAGAGACTCCAAAAGCACTCCAACATTTCTACAGTTCAAACTCTCTTGCATAGGTCAGAAGGGAAGAGGAAGAAGGCAGCCCTCAGCACAGTCCTGTCTTCCACAGAGGTGGGATTGCCTCTTTGCAACCTGGAGATGTCAAGTACGATGCGGCGAACAGCGCACACAAACAGCGAACACATGCAAATGGCAAGGCTGGGCTCCATGTTAGTGCCAAGAGATGCCAGGTCCCACCACCCACAGATCTGCATGCCCACAGACCACAAAAGAAAATGTCCAAAGGCCCAGCAAGTGGAGAAAACGGCCTTGTTCCCAAGCACCAGGCAGCTTGTGCCAGTGGGAGAGTGGGCGCTTGGCATCAGTCTGCCACGGTGGGCAAACCAGAGAATACAGTGGTACCTTGGTTCTCAAACGCCTTGGTACTCAAACAACTTGGTACTCACACAACTTGGAACCCAAACACTGCAAACCCAGAAGTGTTCCAGTTTGCGAACATTTTTCGGAAGCCGTACGTGCTCCGTTTTGAGTGTTACGCTTCCGATTTGAGTGTTACGCTGAGGTCTGTCTGGTTTTGCTATTTTGTTTTTGCATTTTTGTCTTTGCGGCTCTTTTTGTTTTGTTTTTGTGACTGTGTGGAGCCCGGTTCAGCTACCGATTGATTGGCTGATTGTGTGACTGCAGTACATTGTTTATTGCTTTCATTTTATGGATCAATGGTCTCGTTAAGATAGTAAAATTCATGTTACACTGCTGTTTTAGGGGTTGTTTTAAAAAGTCTGGAACGGATTAATCCATTTTGCATTACTTTCTATGGGAAAGGCCCCCTTGGTTTTGGAACGCTTTGGTTTTGGAATGGACTTCTGGAACGTTTGAGGACCAAGGTACCACTGTAGTAAGGTTGGAAGGGAACCCTAGGGTCATCTAGTCCAACCCTCTGCAATGCAGGAATTGCAGCTAAAAATAGGATACTTTTTATCCAGCAAACAAGTTACACTTTTATAAAAATACTGTTTCATAAACAAACCTGAAGGGCCAGTGAAGGTACCCAGCACTAAATTCTTCCAAGTCAGTCATTCAGTGCTTGAGTGGTTTCCTAGTTGCATTCTGGTGCTTTTTAAAGAATTATTTGAAATAGAACAGTACGATAAAAGAACTTCTGTTACGGAAATAAAAATTCTCTGTTAAACTTTCTCCTAAAACTGAGGTGGGGGTTTCAAATGCCTTTCCTGCTTCACGGGACCCTGACCTCAGGATCCACAAATCATTTAAGACTTGCTTTAACTAAATGATCAAATAAGTAAGGAGACTGGAATGAAAGAAAGAATAAAGAGAAGGTGGATTTTCTGAGACTTTCCATCAAAACCCATGAAAATCAAAAGGGCTCAGACTCAGTCCTCAGAGTGGACAAGGAAGCCCTGAGAGATGCCTTGCTGGGAACGTCTTTTGCTGGCCAGAGCACACTTTCTCACCTGTACGCTTGTGTTAGCTGACACCCACAAAATGGAGAAAAATCTGGACGTGTTAGCAAAACTACACAACGCAGAGAAGATGGAGTCTACCCAGCCAAAACAGCTGTTATCCCTGTCAAGCAAGCACCACCAGACACCAATACAAATTCAACACACACCAGCAACCCGTGCGTAAAGTAGGATAACCGATAACACTCACGGCTTCTTCACACGTCACAAGTTATTTCCACAAGACTCCCCAGCACCCACATTCCCTTCAAAGCAAAGTCCCTGGGCAACTGATGTCAGGCGGTCAGTGACTCAGATGTCACGGTGACTGCAATGCGAGTCATACAAAGGTTACTCTCTCCTACACAAGCAACTTTTGCAGAGATACAGGTGGAGGGGAAATTGACATGTCCAACTTCTTAACCCCCATCCCAGGGTTCATATAGACAGTCGCGCATGTAGCTGAGGCAATTGCAACCCATTTGGGAATCAGATGGGATGAAGGAACCATGTTGCTTCTTAGCAGTTGCTCTTTAAATAGATGAAATAAGGATATTCCTGCTTGGCACAATTTTCTACAGACTGGCCAAGCCCCTGGGACCACGTATCATGGGGAGGTCCTTGTGGCTAACAGTTGTTCTGCAAAGTCTCCAGCAAACAGGTCTTTCCCATCGCCAGCTACCAAAGACTCTTAGCTGTAGAAGCTGCCCAGGATACTGGGACCTTCTGCATTCAAAGCAGGTGTTCTTCCTCCAGGCCGGAAGCTGCACTGATGTAACCAGTTTCCTACAAATACATGAACTGGGACAAACGCCAAACCCATTGCCCTTCGGTCTGTATTTGTGTCCTGCCTGTGTCGTGGACTCACATTACTAGCAAACCTTCAAATTTTCCCTTCTGCAAAAGGGGCACTGACCTACCTCACAGGGTTGTTTAAAACAAAGCCTGCCAACATTTTCGACGTTATTAATGGAGCACTGTAGCAGCAACTCGCTTCTCCATTAATTCAAAATTCATGTGATCGGTACACAACATTCTGGGACTCCTTAATTGCTCAAATTTTGTTTTATTCATGAGCGATAATTTACGTTTAAATGTTCCTTGAGTGACTTATTTGTTGCCTATTTGGGGCCATGCTCCAGAGGCTCCACAGGGGATGCAAAACTCTGCAAGCGTCAAGCTTTTCCACTCTCATTTAAGCACATGGGGGAACAGTTCCAGTGAGTGACTGGGATTCCACACGTACCTATGACGCAGCTCTTTTCATCCAGCACAGGAGGAACCACCCATGAAATGAAGACTCTGGGACACACAAAAACAGGGATCGTTCCCATCTCTTGCAAATAGCAATTGTGCAAGAGAACTGCCCAGAGGACTCTGCACCCCAGTTAGATTGGTTGTTTTGCTTTTTTAAAAAAAACCCAGTGTTTTAAAAACTTTTCTTAATGTAACTTTTCCAAAACTGAATACAAAAACAACGCCAACATAAAAATTGATACGCAAACTAAATTCAATACTGCATGAGAAAACTTTTAACGGTACACACCATTTTAAGAAAATATAGTCACATTTTGATGGTCAGCACATCGTCTCAAGGCATCATCTGCTGGAATGTCTCCAGCCCAAGCAAGGCCCCTTGCGAACGTTAGTTGCTGGACAACGAAAATGGGGGATAAAAATTTAAGCGTTGAATGGGAGTTGTGCATGAGCAAAACTCTGTTTCAGCAGGCCTCACTTTGACAATATTCCTAGCGGATCATGCCCTTGCAGCTGGTCACGAGCTCTCTCTCTTGTAGAGTAGCCGATGACTAACTCATTACATGCCATCTCAGCCTGCGATTTAAATTGACTTTGTATTACATAAGGAAAACATAAGCACAAACGCAACCGTTTTCTCAGCAGTTTCAAGCTAAGCAACACAAATTAAGGATCGGCTTCCAAACAAGCAATACTCTTTCTCTCTCGCACACACACTGAAAACATTTATGAGGCTTCCCAAGCAAAATTCAGCTACAAGGGCTTAGGTGTTTGTACACATCAGCCGTCCTGAGCATTTGTTTTCAAATGAAGGATCCGGGAACAAGTTCCCCTCAATATGCAAAGCCCTGAGTTGGTCACAGGGTTCCTGTTTCTCCTAAGTTGTAAGAGTCATTCCCCCATGGCAGAGAAAGAATGAAACCGCTTCCTCTGAGTGGGGCTTCTGCCATCTGCCCCAGACAAGCAGGATATTCTGGAATGCTTTTTATTAGCCAACATGGTTCTTTACCAGGCACAGGGAGCACATGCCAGCCTTTGAAAATTCTGGGGATTTGGGGGAGTTCCTTGCTACTCAAAGGCTCCGGCAGGAAGAGAAAACCCACGGAAAGAAGCAGATGCAACTGTGAACACACACACACCCTCTCCAAATACGCTACTTCAAAAAGAAAAAAAATACCCACACATTTCAGTCAATTCATCTTTTGGTTTTTCAACACGCTACACTGCCATCGTGCTGTCAAGGCTCCTCAGGAACCACCGTTGTTGCAACCAACTCTCTTTTTGTCTTTGAGGAAAGTGGCATGCGAAAGCAAGCTTGCCGAGGGGTTATCGGGTGCCACCTCCGAGGTCGCCAGGCCACCCTTGAAAAGAAAAAGACTTTCCGGGAACAGCATATGGCTCAACATCTCAGGGACTGTTTTTGCAACATTATGAACAGCAGGATGTGAGGATGTGCTGAAAGCAACTCAAAGTGAGGCTCGCAGCACCCAACACACGAACAGCTCTTGCTGTTACAAAGGCAGTTCCTACAGTTGAGAAAATAATCGCCCAGGGAGATGCATTTGAAGATACAGCTCGCCAGCACAGGAGAAAGCCACAAGGGCTTGTGTGTGGCCCAGGCATCCTGGCTGCAAGACGTTGGCAGAGCTAGCGATTTCCTTTCATGGCTTATGGTCAACACCCTGCTATTAAGGATGGGCACAAACTGCTGGGGGAAACCATGCCCAGCAAGGAATCCACACGCAAACTCCAAAAATATTTGAGATTCAAGAAGCCATTGGATTAACCAATTTTCTAGCGCAAGAAGTCTTACTTGCCGGACTAGAGCTCCTTCCAAAACTTTGCCACGGCTGACTGTATTAGGCTGGCAAAAGCTTTCCGCTTCGAGAAGGCAGATCCAGAGTTACCCAGCGTATTTCTCCTTGGGAATTTAACCCTTTAGAACCAGCCAGCCAAGACCATGAGGAAGAACAGGTACTCAATAGTTCCTCACAAAGTTAGCAAGCAAGCACATTGAAAACTGAACCCCGATGAGCCCTCATTTCAATGCAAGTAGCAACAACTCAGATTTTTTTTAAAAAAATCTAGGAGCCATTACAATTTATACGGCAAGATGTTTGCTATTCAGACAAATCATTCCCTGTCCAGTTCTCTCTCACACAGACCTCGAGCATGCAACACACAAATCACAGCCGCTGGCAGAAACAGTGGAGCAGGGACTGTAGAGAAATGCACTTGCGAACACAACGGCAACAGGAGCAAACTGGAGATGTAACAGTGAAGCCAGGAGCAGCGGCACAGAGAGAAAACTGTGGCACAAGGCAAGGTATCCCCGAACAGTTTGCAGGAAAGGAGAAGGAAATATCAGAGCAGCAACAAGAAGACATAGTGGTCGACCAGAAGTCAACCAAATCCCTAAATCTCTGCACATCACTTACAAATGCATTTATCTATCTATTGGATTTCTTGGCCCTGGCCCCTTCACCCTATGATCCCCAGGCTGGCTACAACAATACTGTACAACATCAAAAGCAGTCGAAACAATTCCCATCAGAAGGCAGCCTCCTTTGCAGTGAGGCTCAGATTCTCTCCCACACACCCTGGTAAGTTGGAGGAGAGTGCAGTTTCAAGAGAGTTTGGAGAGAGGCAAGCAGATGAAATCCAGTTCCGTATGCACAACTGCCGTCCGTATGCACAACTGCTTCTGCTCCCCAAAAGTTGCTGCAAAAAGGAACCACCACCGGGTTTCAAGGCAACTCACTGGAACATCAGGATGCCAGATTTCAATGGCTTCACACACACACACACACACACACACACCCCTCTGTCTCCAAACTCCGGGCTTGCCCCAGAGGGCAACAAGGAGAAAGCAGGGCCCAGTCACCCAACAGAACAACGGCTCCAATGCAAAAGGCGCCATTGGACAAGCAGCAGCACAACCTCCCAATACAAGAAAGACCATGCAGGATTTAAAAAAACTCCTGACAGAGGAAAAAGGAGCAGGTTAAACTCGTGCAGAGATCTCAAGGCTCCTTGATGCACTCCAGTGTTTGGCACTTGCAAAATCCCATGGATGGGAGGATACATGGTATGGGGGGTCACACTTTTGACATGCTCAGGGATTCCATATGGCTACCCCCCCTTCCTAAAATCTGCCCCTGCATTTGGCCCCATCCCTCCCAATATCTATGGAGAGGGGCTTGCTTAGCAAGACATCCCCCCCCCAAAAAAAATTACGTTTATGTCCTTATTGAAGAATCTCTCTTTTGGGGGAAACAGGGACAGAGAGACGGAGAAAAGCAGACCTGCACAAACAAGCAAGGGATTTGCAAATTTTACCCAGAGTGTTTGCAGAAATGGAGACTTCAGGACTTCAGGAATGGAGGATGGGGAGGGCAAATGTATCGACTTTTTTAATGGATTGACGGCACCTAGTATGGAAACCAGGTTTTTCTTTCCATATATTGTAACTTTTGTTTTTAAAAGTGAGGGTGCCAGACACTTGTGTAATTATTTTCTTACAATCATCATCAAGGGAGGGGTGGTTTCTAGGAGTTGGGAGAAAGATCCATGTAACTGATGGGGGGGTGCAAGGAGACAGTCAGCCTTGTCCCCACTTTTAAGATTCCCCTGCGATCAATGCCATTAGCCCCATAAAAGCACTCCATGCCCCACAGAGTTAAATAAATATGGGGGGGGCAGGGGGCGGGAGAGGATGACTTTTAAAAGAACGCTCTTTCACAGCTACTCCTTTACCGGTGCTGAACTGCATCCTTTTTCGAGAAATTGAGGGTTGCTCAAAATCCCCCCACCCGCGACGCTTCCCAGATCAGAAGTTGCAAAATACCGAGCAGCCCACGAGATTGAAGGGAACAATTGGGGCGGGGGCGGGCAGGACACGAACCTGTTGCTGCCCCCCCCCCGTGCAGACCCTAGAGCAGATGCCTCCCCCTCCCTCCACCACCACTCCGATTTCAAAGGCAGGGACCCCCACCCACGCCAGGACGCACAATAAGCTGCCCGCTCGCGGCTCCGAGGCGCGCCCAGCTCAGCTGCTGCTCTCTCCGGAGTCGCCGGGGCGAAAACCGGGTGGGGGGGGGGGAGAGAAAGCAGGATCCGAGAAGGGAGGAAGAAAGAGGAAAAGCGGGCGCGGGGGGGGGGAGAAAAAGCCGAAGGAGGAGCATTTCCGCTCCGGCTCGATCAATCGGCGCCGGCTAAGAGCTCCCGTGCTTGGGGGTGGGGGGAAAGGAAAGAGAAGAGCGAAGCCCCGCTCAGCTGTCTGGCCGGAGCAAAGTGGGGGGGCATCTCTCTTTCCCCCACATCTAAGCCCTGGAGGCGCGCTCCCAACACACCTCCTCCCTCTACAGGGCCGCGAAGGAGCGACCCCCCCCTCTCGCTTCGCTCCCTTCTGAACGTCCTTTTTTCGGGGTCCGCGCCAAAAGAGGGGGAGCCGGGGGTGGGGAGCCCCTCCGCGCGCCGGGAAGAAAAGTTTCCATAGCAAGAGGAAAGCAGCGCGGGGGGGGGGGCGCGAAGGAGAGGCGACCAAGCAGGAGGGAGGCATCCCCAAATCCAGTACCCAGCTTTACGCACGAACCAATGTGCAAGCTCTCCATAAAATAATGTATCAAGCATTGCATGCAAGCCGATGCAAATATATTTCTTACACTCCCCAACTGCACACGCCGCGAAGAGGTCGGTGTCCATATTCCGCCCGCCCCCCACCCACCCCCAAAATCCCCCCAATCTGGGCGCCCCACTCACCGCGCGCGCCCTGCGCCCCCCTCCGCCGCGGGGCTCCCGGCAAGCCAGCGCTGCCCGGCGGCTTCGGCTGCCCGGCGTGGTCGGTGCCCCTGGCGGAGCTTCGGCTCGCCCGGCGGCGGCGGCGGCACTGCTTGCCTGCACCGGCTGCGAAGAGAGCGAGAACGAGAGAGAAGCGGAGCGAGGGAGACGCTCTTTTAAACTCCCCCCCCCACCCGCGCGCGCCCCACCCCCCATGTGACCAGCCGAGGAAGCGAGGGGGGAGGGGAGGAGAGGGGGAGGGAGGGGAGACTGCGCGTTCCCCCCTGGGCACCTCCAAAATCATCTACCCCTCCCCGCCTCCGGAACTTGCGCGTGAAGTGGGGGCAATCCGGAGCAGGGGAAAGCCAGCCGACCCGGTGCGATCCGGTGGCTGGCTGCAAACGGGGCTTGCTCCCGAGGAAGCGCGCAAGGGGAAGGAGCCGGTTTGCAAGACGTGTTAAGGCGAGCTTACTTCGGAGTAAGCGCAGGCGAAGTAGGCGGTTTGGGCGCCGAGGAAACGTGGCCAAACGGCGTGCGGAGGCTAGGGACCGCGCAAAGAGCGCGCGCGTAGCAACGGCGGAGGCGCCACGGCCATGCAGGGAGAGCCAGTCGCCAGGCAGCGCGTTGCGCGCGCCCCGAATCCACAAACACGCGCTGCCCGGTGCTTTGCTTGTTTACTCGGAAGTAAGGCCGCTCGCTCCTCCGAAGTCAGTGCTCACGAAGATCCTGCCCAAAAGGGACAAGTTTGTCCCGGGGGAAACACTGCACACGCGTGACACACGGTCTTATGTGTCCGAAAGCAACGCCTTCCGTGCCACAGCGCGCAACGCGGAATCCGCCTACTTGCGTGTAAAGACACGGAGTGTAGACACGCATGTGGACACGGACGCTCAGGTGGCGTACCACGCTGACCACAGAGAGAAGGGAAGTCACAGAACTGCCGGGGGGGCGGGCGGAGATGCTGACACGCGTCTGCCCATGCACACAAACATACACAGGCAGAGAAACGTCGAGGTGAGAATCGCCGGGTGCAGAGTGCTTATTCGCAGGGTAGGGAATAGGGCGGCTCCGCCAGGAGCAAGCTACCCCCGAAGAAAGGCCACCCACATGCAGAGAAAGCGCGGGGAATTAAGTCACCTTAAGGAGAGAGGGCAGTGCGGTGTAGTGGTTAGAGTGCCGGACTAGGACCTGGGAGAGACCGGGGTTCAAATACCCCTTCGGCCATAAAGCTCACGGTGACCTTGTGCCAATCACCTCCTCTCAGCCCAACCACCTCACAGGGTTGTTGTGGCGGTTAAACCATGTACGCCACCTTGAGTTGCATGGAGGAAAAGATGGGGTATAAACGCAATAAACAAATGCAACAAACAAACCTTCCTTACTGAATCTTTCAAGTCTGCGCGTTCAGTCTGAAAGAAGTTCGGCGCGCAGAAGAGCGCAGCGTGGGCGACACGCGTCTGTTGGGGCGATCGCGCGCCTCACGCCCAGAGCCAGGACGACTCGGGAGGACAAGGAGGAATTAATTTATGATCAAACTTCTCGTTCTCTCATACAAACAAGGTTGGCTTCCAAAAAGCAGGTTGCATTCGCACGTGCAAGACCACCAGCTCGGGGAACACGCCCGGACGACCCGCGGCCCGCTCGTCCTCCACGATCGCTCGCCCGCTTTCTCCAATGGCCGGTTTTACAACGCGCACCGGCTACACGGTTGCCGCCTCCCTGTTTGCAAGCGCAACGGCGAGCCGCGGGTGCAGCGCAGCAATTCGCCCGCGACTGATGCTGGAGAAGCAGCAGGAAGACTCTCCATCCTCGCCCCCGCCCCCCAACTCCGCGCGCTTTGGCATCTGGAACAAAGCCTGCGAGCTGCCAATCAAGGGGGCAGCCGAGGGGGGTTGCCCTGTCCATTTGCAAATCAATACCGGCCTACAGAGAAAGAACCTTGCATTAAACATGAGCCCGTTCTATGGATGGATGGATAGACTGGGAGGAGGGAGGCTGCAAAGGGGAGAGGCAGAGAAAGGAGCCAGGGCTAAGTGTTTTAAAAATTATTTTTATTTATGGTATTTACAGCCCCCCTTCTTCTCCCAGGAACTTAAGGGTCCTCTCCCTCCTCATTTCACAACAACCTTGTGAGGTAGGTCAGGGTGAGAGTGATCAGTCATGCACTGATCTTCATGGCCAAGCAGGGATATGAAAGCTGGTTTCTGCCAGATCTGGCACTCTAACCATTGCACCATGCTGCCTCTGTTTCAGCAAAGACAGTGAGGAGGCAGGGATGGCCACCAACTTAAAGGTAAAGGGACCCCTGACCATTAGGTCCAGTCGCGGATGACTCTGGGGTTGCGGCGCATCTTGCTTTACTGGCCGAGGGAGCCGGCGTACAGCTTCCGGGTCACG